TTCAAGGTGTGCAACATGCTCCAAAGGCCACACCAGAGGGATGCAATGTGAACCTGCCATTAAGTGAACTAGACTGTACCTCAAACACACCTGTAACCTAAGGACTTAAGACTGAAATTATATGGTATGTGAAGAAGCCGAAGACAGCTCACCATGAATATTGAACTGACTGTAGGCAGACTAACAGTTACTTACTACGTCAATTCCCTACTTGCTGTATTAAGATATGTTTTATTCTGGCAGACCTGAGTCCGATATTGTCAGTGAATATTATTGTAAATCTTGCCTGACCCCCAACTCCCAAGGTTTGTGAAAATAGCATCCAGTCATGTAAGGATTTATTCTGTGCAAGTGGATTATCCAGGTATTGCAATATGTAGTTAGTCTACACTGGTTCAATCTCCCTTTCCCAATAGTGTTTTAAAATTAGTACCAAAGGCTAATCAATAACACTATAAACAGAAGTTCCTTATACTCCAGGGAGATGACCAATAAGATTATTTACCATAATTAACAAGGTGAACCTGAGACAGATTTAAAAAACAGATTCAGGAATGGATTTGGGCTTACATTTAATCCTAGCTTCGATCTAAGAACAATTAGTTCTTAAGACATGGTCTTTCTCGATACTCACCCTCATGAAGAAAACCCAGAAGATATGGGTGCTATAGAAAAGTGTGGTGAAGAAATTAAATGGTGCCCAGCTATCACATAGAATAGCATCTTGGATCTTAAAGGCTTGTTTCCAAAGAACCAGCTATCTAAGTGAGACGTCAACTAAGCCCACATGAAAGAAGCACATCAACATCTGGGATCCAAGGATTACAAATTATATAATCCAAATCTGAAGGAAAGAATACTATTAGAGTTTAAATTGTGAGATTCTGGTGTGCAAAGGCTGTGGATGACAGATGAAAGTACATTTGCAGGATGCATACAGGGAATAAAAGTCTCTAATCAGAATTGAGGGGTGGGAATATCAGACAAAGAGGACTGGAGAGGTGACTACAGTAGATGAAAACGATCCATCGGACACAACAGTTAAAACCTTGTCACTTGATCTCCCCTCTGATACACTTTGGGCTCAATCTGGTTTTTCATATTTTCTGGGGTTTTTTTTCATATTGGGGTTTATCTCTGTTGTATTTTATCATTGTAGCCTTCTTAACTCTCTGTTATGTGTGTTTCCGTATAGGAAACACAGGGTGGGTGAATTTATAGAGACAACAAGTAGAGTAAGGGTTCCGGGGAGGTTCGGTGGGATGGGGTGGTGGTAAGGGGAAGCTGATATCAAGGAGCTCAAGAAGGAAGAAAATGTTTTAAAACGGATTTTTGTAGCAACTGTACAATATAGCTTGATATGACTTAACTGGAATGGTATGATGTCTGGGGCAAAGAAGACAAGCCTTTAAGACCCTAGGTGGTCCTCTTTCTGATAGCCGGCACCATCTTGTTTTGTTTTTCTCTCACCACGCTTTGCCAGAGCACCTATCTCTTCAGTGATCCCTTCATGAGTGCGAGCCTCGAGCAAGCCCCCTCACATTTAGGCTCAGGTCTCAGCAACCACGGTGGCACTCCCTCTTGTCAAGGGTCTTCCTCGTTTTCTCTGCCCCTCTGCTTTACCAGGCAAGATATCCTTTTCCAGGGACAAGTCTTCTGATAACATGTCCAAAGCACATGTAAGTATGCACACACAAAGGTATAGGGAGTGCATACCAAACGTTTTATAGATGGTATGCATGATTATAGAAGTTTAGAGACAACAGGCCTCAGTTCTCCCTAAATTGGAATGGAAGTGGTCAAAGTGGCCAATTGGAATGGAGAGTTTACGTGGAGAAGCAATGTGCCGGGAATTGCACCAGATCAGACTGGCTAGCATGAGTAGGGTGGCTTGGAGGGTCCCCGGATGGAGCTGACATGGTGTGTGAAGAAGCAGAAAAGGGTGGGGAGTTCTTGGGAGGGTCCAGATGGTCTGCATGAATCAGAGATCTGAAGCCCGGACCTTCGGGGCCCTTAGTAGCCCCGTGTCAGAGTGACAGCAGCAGGGAATGCACCCAGAAAGGAAGGTATGGATGTGAGAGATATGATGAAGAAACAATGGAAGAAGGGAGGGGCAAGGACTAGTCTCACATGATTAGAGTTCAAGGTTGAGTCTGGGCTATTGAAAAAATAATGGTGTCCCTGGCATTGGCAGGCACTGGGGAGTGAGGGGGAGGCGCTTGCTTAAGGAGGATGTTCATAGATGTTTGGAATCTTTAGTCCAAATTCATAATTTGCTAATGAGGAAACTGTAGTCAATGGTGTAGTAGATCTGAGACCTTTTGCCAAGCCTCAGAATCTCACTCTTGATACTGTTTAATTACATTTCTGCTCCGGTTTTGTAAATCACACTGGACATTGCTTAACTTAACTTTCTTTTGTCAGGCATTAAGAAAAGCCCAAACCCACTGCCATAGCAGCCCTACAAGACAGGCTGGAACTGCCCCATGGAGGTTCCAAAGCTGCACGTCTTCGAAGAAGCAGGCTGGGCCAGCTTCCCCCCAGGAGCAGCTGGTGGCATCAGACCGCCAACTTCCCAGTTCACAGCGGAGTGCTTCAATGTCTATGCCACCTCGACTCCATCCATCATGTCAGACAGCCTTTAGTTCCAGAAGTATTATATATTAGTGATTTCCATGGAACACAAAAGGGTTACAGTACATTTTAGATTTCAAAACCCCATTGTAAACTAGTCCTTGTCAATTAAGAGAGTGCAAAGCAAAGGACGGTGCAATAAGCGTCTTTTGAAACCAGTTCATGAATAACAATGCCACCAGCGAATCAAAATAGGGAACAAAGAGAATCAAAATAGTACAGAGCCACTGAAGGTGGAATTGCAAGAAGGGGCGAGGATGAGAGGAGTCAACGATGAGAACATCTGAAAAGAAACGAATTGCACTGGTGACCGTGAAGAGAGCATTTCGACAGTGACGGGCTAGACCCCAAAGGAAATGGGGTTAAGGTGGTGAGGAGGCTAATGCGGTCCATTTGGAGAAATCCGAAGGAGAAAGGACTAAGGGTGGACTGACAGGCTAACAGGGCAGTCATTTCTTTGGACTAATGGACACAGAGCACCGCAAGTAGAACAGAAGTAAGCCCTGGGAGACGCCATCAGAGACAGGGAGGCTGACGCAGGGCCAGCAGAGATGTTACTCCGGTGCCCTGAGCAGAGGGCGGCTGAAGAAGGAGCGTCCTGAGTGGTGAGGCTGTGCAGACACAAAGGACGACGGAGCCGGAAAGGCGGGCATGGAACTTAGCGACCGAGACGGGCCAGAAAGAGACTGGCGGCTGCTGTAAAGCGGGAGTCTGCCATTTGCTTCGGGAACCTTTCATTCCGATCAGAACCACTGGCACTACATTGTCCAAACACATCGGGCTTCCTCCATGTACAGAACCACCTAGCGCGGGACTGACCAGGAACCGCTTTGTGAGTTCCCGACCAGTTAGGGGGAGTGCCAATGGTTTTTAGGGCCACAGCCTTGCACCCCAATCTGACTACGCACAGGCAAGCCAGCTCCTGGTCCTGGGAAGGCTCTCCAATACTTCAAAAGAAGCAAGGGGTTAACATATTTGAAACATTTTGGAAGAAGACTGTTATTGTTCACAAAAGCCTGCAAAGCGGACCCCGGAGTGGTCCAAATGATTTCCAGGAGCATCTGCCGATTGATCGGAGGCCACAAAGCACGCGTGCCCGCGATGACTCAGAGCCTGCGATGACTCAGAGCACACTGGGGTGATGGGGGAGTGTTTGCTGAGGGCAGCAGCCCTTTTGGCATGGCCGCTGCCAGCCCGAGCCAGGCTGTGCAGGGAGAGACACGGCAGGGAGGGTTTCTGGTTTTTGGCATGTCCCTTGGTTCTGCCTTCTGTTCCTGGCTTCCTGCTCTTCTCCTGGTGCCTCAAGCCTTCACGAGGACATGTTTTAAGAAGTAGCTGAGACAGACACACACACACACTCCCCCATCGCCTTGGGGTTTGTCCAGAGAAACAGAAAGGGAAGCGAGGGGGAATATTGCTGCTGTTGGGTCCCCCACCACACAAGCGTGTGCATTCTCGTTCTCTCTCTCTCTCTCTCTCTCTCTCTCTCTCTCTCACTCTCTCTCGGCAACAGAACAAAGTGTTGCCAGACCTGCACCCTCTCCGTGACTGGTTCCAAACCAGACCCCTGTGGCCACAGGGTCTCCATTGGCTGATTTTCCGTTGATCCCACGGTCTTTCCTTCACAATGAGGAATGGAGCCTGTCTTTCTTCTCTTCTAGGCTTTTTCTATTTTCTGAGCCTCAATAGAGAGGGAAAAGCCAAGACCACAGAAGATCTGTTTCTTTCTACCTCGTTTTCAACTACACCCTTCATCATCTTAACTAGAACTCCCGGGCACTGACTAACCAGAACCCACTGCTATTGGGTCGATTTTGACTCCCAGCGACCCTACGGGACAGGTGGAGCTGCTCTTTCGGGTGTTCAGGACTGTAAATCTTTATTGGCACGGATAGCCTCATCTTTCTCTTAAGGAGCAGCTGGTGGGTTTGAACCACCAACCTTGCAGCTAATAGTCCAATGCTTAATCCCCTGCCCCAATCGGACTCCTTAACACTGACCAAGTCCATGATAATGAGAGCCAACACCCTCACACGGGGCTGGACAGAGGCAAAGACCCCCATCCTGCCTCCAGTGCTCCTGATCTGTCATCCCCCATCCTAAGGTGGAACCCTACTGTCGCTTGTTCAGAGAAATGCCTTCTCTGGGTCCGTGCCCTCCACACCTAATAAGTAGCCATGTGTGTTTTCTGTTGCTCATCCCCTTGCCCCCCTCCCTGTGCCTGTCACCTCTCACCTCTCACCCTTCTGCTGCCCTTTTCACTCCTCTTTTTTTCAGGCCTCTTCCTTGACATCTTTTCCTTCCTCCCCTCATCTGTCCCTTTGCTTCTCTCCACTGACCGTCCTTCCCCCTTTGTCCCTTCTCAGCCCATAAGCTATGATGTCTTCAAGCTGTTCATGAGAGCATACCTGAAGGTGGACCTTCCTCAGCCACTGAGCACACACCTCTTTATGGCCTTCAGCCAGAGGCCCAGACAGGACCCCCCTGACCGTCCGAGGGAGGGGACCAGCCACAGTGAGGTCAATGGCCCAGGTATGTACACTAGCTTCCCTCAAGATGGAAGGGGATTTTTGAGGCTCTAACCCCCTTGCCGTGGGCATGGACTGCATTTCTAGAAGAACCCTGAGCACATAGTAACTCTCCTTTCTTTCGGGTTCAGAAAGGAGACCAAGAACTTGGACTCTTTCCTCATTATCTGTTGAATCTCTCACTACGAGGACTGTAGCCGGACAGAACCCTACTACTGGAGACCAGAGCATGGGAGGGAGGAAGGGGAGGCACCCCCTAAGGCCTAGCAGGGAGAAAGGAGCCACCAGCAAGGGCTGGGGGACAGTGGAGGAGGCACATTCCCCCAGGTACCCAGGCTAGGGCTGACCGGGGAGTGTCTGTGTCTTCGCGGGAGTGTGGGCTACCGTGAGGACAAGGTCCTCCCCACAACCTGAGCAACCCAGACACCCACACATAGCTCAGAGGCCTCAGATCCCAGGGGAGCATCTGCATGTGCCCTTCGAAGAAGCTGGGCGGCGTGGGCTGGTGTGTAAATAACCTCTTTCTTCCCCAGATTTCCATATACAGAATGCAGATCATGCCGCCAAAGCAGATGAAGCTTGTGCCCCCGATATGGGTAAGCCTTTTGAACACCAGTCTCCAGTAGGCCTCCGTCTTCACTGAGGAGACGTGGGGAGGCCTTTGTCTCCCCGGAGAAGATCTTGCCCTTTGCAGGCTTTCAGCACCCCCATCGCTGAGGTCCCTGCCCCACGCACGCCCTGAGATTCAGCGGCTTCATGTTTCCTGCAGTGGGAGAGGGAAGGGCTTGGAATAGCTCTGAGATGCTTCCCTCCTACCGTTGTGCTTGTCCACAGGGGGCATCCTGCTCAGGGGAAGTACGGGCATGGAGACGCTGAACCAAACCAAACCCTCCGCCATCCAGCCAGTTCTGGTTCAGAGCAACCCTGTGTCAGGGGAGGGGGGGGTGTGTGTGTGTGTGTGTGTGTGTGTGTGTGTGTGTGTGTGTGATGATCTATATGTGTGTGTTGATATATGTAAATATATATCAGAATAAGATAAGTTGGGGAGAAACGGGAGGGGAAAACAACTAAAATGGTTCGGAAAATCTACTGTCTGTCAGGTACCTGTATATGGCGTATGTCATTGAATCCCCACAATCACACCACTTTGTAAAGTGGAGCAGAGGTTTTCAGAGCTCCCACACTGCTCCTGTGACCTTCCCGAAGATCAGAGCCTTGACAGCCTGCTGGTGATGCTGCCAGGTGCCTGCCCGTTGGCTCCGACTCACAGCAATCGTGTGCACAGCCGCCTTCCCCATGCGGCGCCATGCTCACAGTTGTTATGTTTGAGCCTGTGTGGCCGCCCCCACATCCGTCCATCTCTCTGATGGTCTTCCTATTTCTTTGCTGCCCCTCCTTTTTTGTTTTTCTAAGTCATTTTACTGGGGTGCTCTTACAGCTCTTACCACAATCCTTACATCAGTTGTATCAAGCACATTTGTACATATGTGTCCGTCATGTCTAAAATATTTTTTTTCTACTTGAGACCTAGGTATCAACTCCCCCTTTTTTCCCCGTCCCCAACCATCCCACCCTCCTGACTCCTTGATATATTATTATTATTTTCATATCTTACCCTGTCTGTTGTCTCCCTTCATCCATGTTTCTGTTGTTCATCCCCTCCCAGGGGAGTGGGGTCGGCAGTTACACATTGAGCATTGTGATCAATTCCTACCCTCATGGTATCAATACTCCCATTACTGTTCCTAAGGGGGTTATCAGTCCTGGACTCTGTGTAACAAGAGCTCTTATCTGTACCAGCGTACATGCTCTAGTCTAGCCAGATTTGTAAGGGAGAACTGGTGTCATGATAGTGGGGTAGGGGGGAAGGAAGCATTAAAGAACTAGAGGAATGTTGTGTGTGCCATCCATTGGTGCTATACTTACTGCACCCTGGCTAACTCATTCATTCCTTCCTTGTGACCCTCCTGTGAGGGGATGTCCAATTGTCTAGAGATGGGCTTTGGGTCTCCACTCCAGCTCCCCTCATTTGTGTTGAGATGATTGTTTTGGGTCTTCTGATGCCTGATACCTGATCCTGTCGATGCCCCATGATCACACAGGTTGGTGTGCTTCTTCCATGTGGGCTTTGTTGCTTCTCAGCTAGATGGCTGCTTATTTATCTTTAAGCCTTTAAGATTCCAGACACTGTATCTTCTAATAGCCAAGCAGCATCAGCTTTCTTCACCACATTTGTTTATGCACCCATTTTGACTTCAGAGATTGTCAGGTAAGCGAGCATTGCAGACTGCCAGGCTACTAGAACAAAGTGTTCTTGTATTGAGGGAGGGCTTGAGTATAGGCCCAATGTCTGTCTGCTACCTTAATACTTAACATATAAATATATATACATAGACCTATATATCGCTATCAATATATATTAATATAATTATATATATACATGCCTATATTTATACCTCTTTACATTTCTTTTGCCTCCTAGTTGTTTCCTCTATTTCCTTTTACTTCCCTCTATCATGTTCAGCCTTCATTCGGCTCTCAGCTACATTGCACTTGATCAAACCCCAGCAGGCATTCTACTCCCTCCTTACCATCAATTTTAGATACCTTGTTGTTCCTTTGTCCCTTGTCCCTGGGTTTGCTGGCTCCCCCCGCACTTTCCCCCACCTCTCCCTCTCCCCTGTCCCCCAAGAACTGTCGGCCTGTTGTTTTCTCTTCAGAATTGTTTATCTTGCGTATCTTATATAGATAAACATGGGGGGAGAAGGGGGGAAAGAAGAAAGAAAAAAAGGTGAGGGCCTACAAATAGTTCCAAGTCTGCCTACTGACCCTTACGTATGTTTTCTGATCGGGTCTGATGAGGTGCCAAGCCCTGTCCTCCAAGTCTGAAGTCTATTTTCGGGACTCCTCGGGGACTTCGTTACTCTTGGTCCCCATTGCTGCTCTGTTGCACTCCTTTGTATTTTGCCCTGGTGGGGTGGTTGGTCAGACCGGCTCCCCTCTTTTTCATATGCCCCAGCCTCTCCGATTATTTGCTCAGCATACAGATGGAAAATCTGGTGCAGGGATACAATCCTGACACAATCTTTTTCCAGGGACGGCCTTTTCTTGTAACATGCCCAACGTGCACGAGATGCAGTCTGGCCTTCGTTGCATCTAAGGAGGATTCTGATTGTACTCCTTCCAAGACTAATTTGTTTGTTCTTCTGGTTCTGGCAGTCGCAGTACTTTCTGTATTCTCTGCCAGCACCATAATTCAAGTACATGAATCCTTGAATCTTCGTTCCTCATGGTCCTACTTTCACATATCTATGAGTTTTTGAAAATACCATAGCTTGGGGTCAGGTACAAGTCAGTCTTCAAAGTGATATCTTGCTCCACAACTTTAAGCAGAGCCCTGGAGAAATGGCAGTTGATTTCCTGAGACCCCCAATCGTCTGGGCCGAGCTTTTCATAGTAGCTACAGGGTCCGTTGTTACCAAGGAAGGAGACACATGGGGTGGTGTCATAATGTGACACTGGGAAAGGCTGTCAATCACGATAGTACACATGGGTTGACTTAGCTGCTCAGTATGCTTATTTTTGAGACGTACGAGGACTGCTCCAGGGGCAAACCAGTCTGCTTCAGAAGGCGTAAGGCCAGAGGCAAGGATGGTGAGACTTGGTCATCCATACTGGAGAGGTATCCTCAGGAGAGACCAGTCCTTGGGAAAGTAGAAGGGCAGTGGCAAAAAGGAAGGCCCTCAGCCACATTTTTGATACCATGGCTGCAACAGTGGGCTCAAGCTTGGGAACCATCATGAGGCTGGTACAAGACCAGGCAGATTTCATTTTGCTGTGCATACGGTGGCTGTGGGTCAGAACCAACTCCCTGGCACCTGCCACCCACACACGGTTCTGAAAGTAAGAACACAGCTGCTGAAAGTGGGAAATGATCTGTGATAGAACCATCTCCTTTTCTCTGACAAAATCCACTCCCTGTGGTCAAATCCCGAAAGGTCAACTCTGATGGTCCTAGGACCCAGAGGGGAGACCGGGCAGTCAACTGGCATCTCTTCATCTTCTTTTCTGACTTGAGACTTAAGAGGGAAAAAAAAGCCTTTTCCTACAAAGCTACCTTCCAGGGATGTCTTAATCAAGTGCACCTGTTCACGGAAACAAGCATGTGGAGCCAGGCTGACACCACAGAGATGCTCCTCTGTTAGGCAGGAAGAGCCAAGTCCTGGCATCACCTGAGACCAGGCCATCTGCTCAACATCCCACCCTTTCCCGTTGCCTCGGGGAGAAATTAGGTTCTCAATTTATACAGTGTATTTAGGACCAATCAGATCATTCTCCTCGTTCAGATCTAGCACAGCCCCCTCCAGGTTATTCGTTCACAGAGCCAGGTGAGTGCATGATTGTGTCCATACCCACAGCAGAGAGGGCCTTCCACCAAGTCCAGCCATCAGCTAAGAGCCCGAGCAGTCTGTCACGGTCAGAACATCCACATGAGCGTGGCTGAACTCCTCCCTTCCTGCCTGCCCAGGATTGAATGGGCTGAACAATGAAAACTCCAGCCCCTTGGTTTGTCACTGGTTTCCCAGGCTGGGTCAGAATATGTGAGGGGAACTCTCCGCTGGTTACACGCAGAGGGGACAGTCTACGGGGCTCGATGTAGCTCTTCCCTGTGAAAGTGAGCTTCCTCAGACTCCCCAGCTCCATCTTCTCAGCTCAGAGGGATTACCAGCCTGTCCTTGATCCTCGCTGCTGCTCTGCAGCCTAGAAACCCTTTGCAGACTGTAAGATGTGGCAGATGCACGAATCGCGTCTGTTCCCTAATCTCTCGGAGATCACTGTGTGGGGCTCTTGTTGGTGTTTGGTGAGCTCTTGTGTATTGCCTGTTGTCCACTGTGTTAGTTTTGCCGTGGGCAGATAATCCGCTGCTCCCTTTTACTGTCGTGTTCTATGGGATGAATAATGTGAGGATGTGGCATGAACTGGAGTCTTGGATCCATGGTTATGGGATGAGCTACCAACCGGAAAGGTCAACGCCTCAAATCTACCAGAGGCACGCCTTGTAACACGTCCTGGTAATCTGCTTCCGAAAGCTCAGAGCCTTGCAAACCTGCTGAGCACAGTGCTACTCTGACAGCCGCGGTGTCCCCATCAGGGGGAATCGACCTGGCTGTGGCTCCTTTGTTTGTTCGATAGCAGGAACCCAGTGAACAACGGAGTGCCCAGTACGAAGGGCTTCTTGCAAGTGTCTCCGCCTCACTGATGTGTGTCAGCGTGCTTTTCCTCCAGGGAGGACTTCAGTACTCCTCTTCCCCGTGGACTCTCATTGTGGCCCTTCAGCTCACCCACCGTGCTTTTCCTTCCATCTGATGGTATTCTCATCTCAACTGAGATGAGAGTCCCACTGAGGCTCTCTGCTCTTGGTCAGTAGAGGTTATATCTTCTGGCAACTTCCGGGGGTGTCTCTTGCACTAGGAGATTGCATTCCAAGATTCTTCCTTGGAGACTGGAGGAAGACAGTTCCTTTCCGTGGTCTATAGCTCTGTTTCTGGGCTCCATCTTGGTCTTTCACAGGTTCCTTTGTAACATGCAAAGTGTGTCCGTAGCCTTTAGTGTCTCCCATTGTCCATCTGTGTTCACTGGGTCATCGGCTCCATAGCCTAAGCCCCTGGAGCCCAGCTCTTCAGCCAGAGATGGAATGTTAATTCCCCCTGCCCGGCCCTTTGGCACTCTGCATAGAGAGTGCACGCTGGCCTTACCCAGCAGGCATTGGGGTCTGTGGGCAGCATCAATGGTCAAGCACTCGACTGATAACCAACAGGGTGCTGATTAGAACCCACTCAAATGCACCTCAGAAGAAAGGCCTGGAGACAGGTTTCCAGAAGGTCACTGCGTAGAAAAGCCACAATCCAGTCAACAGGAGCGGGCTTCGTTCTCCTGTTAGATCGAGCGTATAGGTCTACCAAGAGGACGAGCTGGGAAAAGGATAGAGCGTTTTCCTGCCTCCTAGAAGAAAAATTCCCGAGAGAAAACTTGTCCTCTTCTTGTGGCACCTTAAGCCCCTTTCTGGATTTTCCAAAAGTCTAATTCATTAGGCTTGCAGGGAGTCAAAATTCTTCCTAATTTCTGCAAAGAAATGGTTGTCAATCCCAGCTTTCTGATTTGAACATGCATCTTTTTATTTGTCTTTAAATGCATTTGACAAGTTGTGGGAGAGTATATTTTGAACTGTTGGTCACTTATCACTTTGAAATCCCACCTTAAATTACTCCTCCAAGTTTGATGTGTTCAAAAAAACACAATAAACACATGGACCCAGAACAAATGGCGTCTGGCTCTAAGTACTCCTATTGGTAATTTGGTATTGGCTACTGATATTACTAAGAATCACTGTCAGACTTTCTAAACACTCACAGGTATGGGTGAATTTCCTACAAGGACATAGACTCTTTCAAGGGTCACATTTGGCTCCATTCGCATGGTATGAATGGCACAGATGGATGTCTAAAACCACTGATTGAATTACCTCTAAGTTACCAAAGCTGTTGCAGACACCTGCATGAAATTCATGCTCAGTCGCGGAGAGGATGGAGTGACAAAAGGGGTTTAATGTTTGCTAAACAGCAAACGTCCTTGGACGCTGTTCTTTTGTCTACTGCAGAGTCCCAAGGGACCGAGAAGCCAGGGCCAGCTAAAGAGCAAGAGGCCACGACCCTCCGGGGAGCCCCTGCTGCTCAGTCTCCAGACTCAGAGCCCCCCATGGTGTACCTGCAGGATGTTGTGTGCTACCTGTCCCTGCTGGAGACTGGGAGGCCTCAAGATAAGCTGGAATGTAAGTGCTTTCCCATGTCAGGAATGTCAACAGTTTCCTATAGGAAGATCTAGCGCCCTGTCCATTATTCCTGGACATGCTATAGACTCTTGTGGTCTCATTGATATGCCTCCCTGGGGGATGTTTCCCACTTCTGGGCAATCTTTCCTAAGATCCACCCTGGGACCCAGTACCAGAAGTGCCTGGGGCAGGCAGGGCATCTAACACCTCTGTATTAAGAACCCCTGGGTATTACATTCTTCTGGTGAGGGGGCCCAGCCCCATCATCCTCTCTGTAGTTCGCTGCTCCATGCCAGTATGTTGCCATAAAGGCAACTATGGGGTGGGGTCTTGTCCCTCTCTCCCTTTCCTGTGGACACCATCGCAACATCATCTCTGAAGGCAAACTGGGTGCATAAGCAAATGTGGTGAAGAAAGTGGATGGTGCCCGGCTCTCAAAAGATATAGCATCTGGGGTGTTAAAGGCTTGAAGTTACACAAGCAGCCAGCTATCAGGGAAGCAAATAAGCCCACATGGGAGAAGCACACCAGCCTGTGTGATCATGAGGTATCTACAGGATCAGGTATCAGGTATCAAAAGATCCCAAACAAACAATTATATCAATGTGAATGAGGGGGGTTAGCGTGGAGACCTAAAGCCCATCTGTAGACAATTGGAGATTCTCCCACAGAAGGGTCACAAGGAAGGGACAATTCAACCCAGGTGCAGTGTAGCACCGAGGAAACACATATCATTCCTCTAGTTCCTGAATGCTTCCTCCCCACCACCCACTGCCAAAACCCAGCTAGACTGGAGTGCACACATTGGTACAGATAAGAGCTTTCGACACATGGAATTCAGGACAGATCAAACCTTCAGGAGCAGTAGTGGGGGGCTGGGGAAGGAAGGGGGAGAAAGGGGGAATCCTTCACAAGGTTGGGTATATAGTCCACACCCCAGGGGGATGAATAGCAGAAAGGTGGGTGAAGGGAGACAACAAACAGTGTAAGACATAAAAGAACAACACTAATATATGATTGGTCAGGGGAGGGTGGGGGAAACCGAGGAGCTGATACCAAGGGCTCAAGTAGAAAAATGTTTTGGAAATGATGATGGCAACATATGTACAAGTGTGCTTAGTACAATTGAATGGTGGATTGTCTTAAGATTTGTAAGAGGCCTCCAATAAAATGATTAATTTTAAAAAAAAAGAACCCCTGGGGCCTGTCTGGAAGGGGTCAGACCCCCACGCCTTTGCAGGTAGGAGCTCCTGAAAGCCTCCACTCAGAGGTGCCTCCTCTGAGGAGAATTTCCAAAGGAAGATGCTCAACACCTGTCTCTTTCCCCTGCTCCAGTGCCCAAGCAGCTCATACACTATGAGGAAATCGTTTTTTTCTGGAGAGCTAATTAACCTCTCTCTTGTTAAACCCAAACCGAACTCGCTGCCATCGAGTCAATGCGGACTCCTCGCAGCCCCCGTGGGTGTCTGGGGCTGTACCTGTTTGTGGGCGTAGAAAGCCCAGTCTGTCTCCTGAGGAGCTGCTGGTGGTTTAGAACTCCTGACCTTGTAGACTGCAACCCAACAGGTCATCACTGCACGACCAGGGCTCCCCTTCTCTTGTTCTAGTCTCAGAAACTCAGCGGGCAGTTCTCCGCTGACCTAGAGGGTCACTACGAGGCGGCATCTACTGGGTGGCAGTGAGTTGGGTTGTTTGGTTTGTTCAAGTGTATCCTCATTTCTCCACCCTCTCCTCCCGCCAAGACCTTGAGGCGCTAGAGAAAAGGGACTGGTTATTTCGTTAAGGGAGCTGAACCTGGTTTCGTGGTGCTGGCTTCTGAAAATGAGCTCACCCCTATGGCTCTGTGCTCAGCCCAACAACAGACAGAAGGAGGAACAGAAACTGGAACCCCAGGGAGGACATGGGATTCGTGAGGGCCCAGGGGCAGGCGGGGGGAGGTCGCAGTCAATGCTAGGAAACTAAATGCCTGTGAATTGTCGAACAGAAACTTGATCTGCTCGGCAAGTCATCGCCCAATTCACAACCCCAAAGAGTCTTCAAAAGTAGATGGGGGGTTACCGTGGCCTAGAAGAGAAGCCCCTGGTTGCACAGAGGTTAAAGCGCCCAGCCGCTCACCTGAAGGTTGGCAGTTTGAACCCACCGGCCCCTCCTCAGGAGAAAGCGGTGGCCGTCTGCTTCCGTAAAGATATGTCGCTTTGGAAGCTCTCTGGGGGGCACTTCTGCTTAGTCCTCTTGAGTCTCCTGAGTCCGAATTGGTAATGGGTTTGGTTTGGGGGCTCCAGGGGCAGGAGGGAGGAAGCAATGGGGAGTTAGAGCCTGTGGGGTCCTGAGCTGCTGTTTGGGGAGGGACCAGCGTGTAGAAATGGACTGTGAGGAGGGTAGCAGTAAAAGCCCCCGCCATCAAGTCAGGTCCAACACATCGGGAACCTAGGCAGCGTTTCCGAAACTGCATCTTCACGGGAGCAGACAGTCTCATTGTGCTCCCTCAGAGAGGCTGGTCCTTTTGAACTGCCGGCCTTTCAGTCAGCAACCCAGCGCTTAGCCCACAGGGGCTACCAGAGCTCACAGACAATATGGAGGTTAGAATCGCCCGCAATGACAAAGCCCGTATTAAGTGCTGAGTGCTATCTATATTCCAATCACTGTAGACGCAGACATATATTATTTACTTGCTCATCCTCTAACAAGCCTAAGAAAAAGAAAATATACTCTCAGATTTATAGATCAGAAAATGACACCGCATGCAGCCAAATGGCTTGTTGGACAGCCCAAAGGTGGTAAAGTGCAGGGCCCAGCTTTGAACCTGGGTCTGCCTGCGCTCCTTCCCCGTGCAATGGAGGCAGTGCCCCCTCTCCCACCCTGTATGCCTGGTGCCTCTGCCCCATCAATGGGCACTTGCTTCGAGTGGGGCCCAGGGATCCTGCGAGGTGTGCGTGCTCTGCAGAGACTCATACCCCTGACCTGGACCTCTTTAGCCTCAGAGCTATTGCTCTGACAGTCCTGGGAGCAAGAGGGTTTCTTCTCGTCCTCCCCCCCACCCCCACCCCTCTGCTGGAAGTCAGACCCGGCACCTTGAAGGGCGAGGGAGCTGCTGGCCAGGGTGATCTACGTCCTTGGGCGTATCAAAACGTCACCCTCGCCTCCGCTTTGTTTCTTGCAGTCCTGTTTCACCTGTATGATTCGGATGAGAATGGGCTCCTGGATCAAACGGTAAGCTTTCCTCCTCAAATAGCCCTCCTGGAGCCAGGGAGGGGGGAGGGGGCGGCGCTGAGGGAGGGGCGGGAGAGCAGGTGAAGAGAGAGTCTGAAAACTGTTGGTTCCATCTCTATAAGCATGGAGATGTCCCAATAAGGGCCACAGAAATCTGAATAAATTCCCCACCTTCTCGTTCCCTGAGAAAGTAGAAGCCCGGAAAAAAGAGGCTCCCAGCCTCGAGAAAGCTCAACATGGCCTTCCCTTTTGATCCCAGAATGAGGAGATGCTTTAGCATCTCCCCTGGCTTACCTTCCCGGCCTGCTCAGAACGTCCCTCTTCAGTGTCCTGCCGGGCCCAAGGGTCTAGAAGAGGCAGGAAGAGCCGGAGCAGCACAGGAGGGCAAGGGGAAAAGGTCACAGTTCATGCACTTTGTTGTCCCCCGGGGCTGTCTCTCATAACCCAGGGCCCTAGCTCCAGGAGTCTAGTCTGTTTGTTCTGAACACACACACACCTCCTCGTCCTGGTGAACCCTGAGCCCCCAGCTCTCCTCAGGGAGAGGCCAGCATTGGGGGGTGGAAAAGGTGGAATCAGAAGAAGACAGAGAAGGGGAAAAAAAAGAATCCAAACAGACACGTCTCGTGGCTGACGGTAATCCAGGTGCGGCCCATCGGTGTCCAAACACACGTCTCGTGGCTGACGGTAATCCAGGTGCGGCCCATCGGTGGAACATTTGAGGTCGAATCAGATGAAAAGAAGAGAGGGAGCAAGTTGGCTTGCTGAGCAGGATGGATCCAGACAAAATGAAATGGTTGACAACTGCAGTCGCTGCCCCATTTGTCAGGATGTTGCCGTTGGTCCAGTTTGTTTGTTTGTTTTCTTTATATTGATGTGTGATCCACACTGAAGGCTACTGTAAGCCCTTTGAGTCTCCTTGGCTTTTAGGAAGCAAGGTTGTGTTCCCTGCATACCACATATTGTTAATGAGGCTCCCTTCAATCTTGGTGCCCTTTTTTTTTTTTCATATTGTCCAACTTCTTGGATTATTTGCTCAGCATACAGATTGAACAATATAATGAAAGGATACCGCCCTGATGCATATTCTCCCGATTTAAGATCATGCACTGTCTCCTTGTTTTGTTCGAACGGGACGGCCTCTTGATCAAGGTATAGGTTCCACGTGAGCAAAATCGGTCACAATTCAAGTCTGTTCCATCAGTCAACCAAGTTCTGCCTTCTGGAGTTGACCAGGACCAGTTGCATACCGATTCTACACAATGGACCATCAAACATTGAAAGGTGCTTTATCACACGTCCCCCTGAAATCTTCTCCACGCTACAAGTTTCCAATTCCTATACTGTCTTGTATAGGAACCCAGTGACATAAATATACACTCTAGATAAGTTCATCTGTCAAGGCTCCTCTTAAACTATGGCACAGAATTGAAACTACATGCCCATGGCTTTTTAAGCATTCAGAGATGGTCTCATGAGGGTAGACCTGGAAGAACTAGTTTGATGTACATAGTCCCAGACCAAGTCTAAGTGTTGGCCCCTGAAGTGCATTCTGTTCTCATCTAATCTCAGACCCAGCGCGGGGCACCAGCTCCTTTTTCGTCAGGACTTCTGCCAAGTGCCAACCTTGCCCCTACTTTTCTTTCCATGTGCTTTTCCTCATGCGTTGACTCAACCTGCAGTTTTGTAACTATTTTTTATTTAGATGAAAAACATTTTTTCAGACCTATTGGATTTTACTTCGCTTTTTCTGACCCAGCGTTCAATCTGCTGGGGGTAAAAATTCTCTGTTTGTTTTTTCTTCATCAATATATGTAATTTTCCATCACTACATCAATGTATTATCGTACTATAAACATCTTAGGTGGCACCCAACAGATGATAACTTTGACACTAAATCCTTCTGAACCCAGCTGTCTCTCAGCGGGCCTCTCCATGTGTGGCTACCGTAGCTTCCAGTCAGTTCTGTGCGGTTTTAGAAAGATCCTGGCCTTGGTACCAAAGTCTCACTCAACAGACAAACTCTCTCTTTATGGAATCCTGGGCCTGGAATTGAACCACAGGATAAAGGAAACAGATGAGATGTCTAAACAAATAAGTTAGCCCTTCATCCAGCTGCAACTGGCCGCCCAAATGGTGCAAATGAACCTCAAGTAGCTGAAGCTGTGGGGTGGAGCGTGGTAAGAAGTGGGAGGAGGAACCTGTAAGTATTCGTGGGAGCTGTGGACACAGTGAAAGAGATATGAGGAATGCTTCTTTCTATATTCTCTGTTTCAAGGGACAAGAAGGGCAAGGAGGTCAGTGCCCAGTAAACGTTCCTCTCTCTGGCTTACTCGCCATGCGAGGTGTTCTTTGGGGCTTCTCTCCCCACTGGGCCTGACAGTCGAGACAGAAGCAAAGGGAGGGGAAGCAAATGATCAATCCTAGTGAAGCGACCACGTGTAGCACCAGCTGTGTCTCATGCTCAGCCTGCTTGTCTTCCTACTGAGGTCAGCCTTGAGTCTTGCTCTTAAAAACTCTCCCCCACCCCCGCTGTCTTCTAGGAGATGGATCGCATTGTCAACCAAATGCTGCACATCGCCCAGTACCTGGAGTGGGATCCCACTGAGCTAAGACCTGTGAGTATCTCTCCGCACAGGGTGACTTCGAGCGAGCTGCCCAGATGAAGTCGGGGTGTCTGCTGGGCTTGCGTGTGGTGTTTACTGTGCAAGCCCCGCCAGCTCCTCCGCCTTACGGATCGCGTCCTGTACAGCAGCCTGCACAGCAACCTCGCACTTTGTGGAGAGGAGAAAACTGTAGACAGCAGAAATATAGGTGTCGTTGAACTAATAATCCCCCCTCACCTTCCTCCAGTGCTAAAAATGTTTAACAAGAATGTATAGATCCAAGAAGTTAGATAGAAGGAACGTTAGCCATTTTGCTCAATCCCCGGAACATAGTAGCAATGAATGGTAATTACATATCAGGGCTCCTATATGTCAGGTCGGGTTCTGGAAACTTCATTTATATTTTCTCTAATCCTCCCCACCATTCTGCAAACGTGGAAAGATTGTTTCCATTGTACAGATGAGCCAGCCGGAACCCAGAGAGCTGGCTTGGCCTGCTCAAGGCCACACAGTCAGGCTGGTACCGAATCAGGACTAGAGTGCACGCCAGTCTCCTGATTCGTAATCCACAACCCCATTATGTCTTGATTATTCATATTCACTCAGAATGAGATGAGCAGGGGAGCCTGCTATGCAGGACGAAAGAGAAAGCCAAGCAACGTGGAAATAGACGATGTTGCTCTTTGGCTCCCACAGATCTTGAAGGAGATGTTGCAAGGGATGGACTACGACAAGGATGGCTTTGTGTCTCTGAAGGAGTGGGTCCAAGGAGGGATGACGACCATTCCATTGCTGGTCCTCCTGGGGATGGACGACTCTGTAAGTCCTCACGCTGGAGTTCCGAGACCTCTTGCTTTGTTGTCCTTCCTGTTGTCCTTTGTTGTCCTCTCTGTTGTCCTTCCTGAAATATGTTCATTCATTCGAGGGGTATTGATTAAACAAAAGTTACTCTCGGGGTGTTGCGGTGGGACACAGAGATTCTGTATTGGCTCTCAAAAAGCTTATTCTCAACCAGCAGAGGGCGAAAAACCTCAAGGAGGAAGTTCACCGTTTGCTCAAATTAGGTTTAAAAACACTAAGAGTTGGGGAGAAAGGAAGGAGAGGGGAAAGAAGGAAGCCTGGTCTTTGTGGGAAAACTTTCATGAAGGGCATCTTATTTGACCTTCAAAGAACAACCGAATATGTGAGTCTTGTTATTCTTAATGGATATCAATGGAAAGCTGAGGTTCTGGGTCTAAGAGTGAAAAGAGGAGGCAAGGCTCCACTTTCTAACCCCCCAGGCTTGGGAGTGAAGACCAGTAGGAAGCAACCTTGGAGGGTGTAGACCCCCTGCAGGAGGGGTGGGATTTTAGTATCCCATTCCTGAGACTCCGTGCCAGGGTGGGGGAGCCTAGTACAGCACTTGATCTGGCTCTCAAGTGAGGATGTGAGATGGCTGCTGAAAGATGGGAGGAAAGTGAGTGGAGACCCCAAACTGAGCATTTACTAAGGGAACTAATGCCTATATGTAGAGTAGGAATATTAACAGGAAAAGCACAAATGGTGGCATTCAGCATTTATCAGGACAGTCTCGCAGGCTGTGCGGGCAGCACCTCGTGGAGATACTGAAATACCAGAGAGAGGAACAGAAACAGAAGGGCAGCAGGCTGGCCTCTGCCAGCCTGCCACCGCCTGTTTCCCACAGTGTCGCCATCTGACATCCCCGTGGTTCATTACTAAAGCTGAGACTTCGTTTCCAATCCTTGAGAACTGAGAGTCCACAATCATCTCCCAGCATGTCCAGCTCCTTCAGAGTGCTGAGTCAAAACCAAGGAGGCTGCCCCCTCCTCGCCTTGCTCCTGAGCTCCATGGACAGTCACAGCGAGAAAAGGCCTGTGGGCTCGATGCCCCTGCCCACCCTCCCTGCTTTACAGATGGATGCCAAGGCAAGCAAAGACCCCAACAGCACAGTCCTAGTTAGTCAGAGAAGCCAGCTGCTCCCATGCTCAGCAATATCAGACCCCTCGTTCCACAACCTCTTATCAAGAACTTACCCAAAGTTTCCAATCTCGGGGTGCAAAGAGGGAAGTTTGGTTTGGGTGTCCTTCCACCAGCCCTGTTCTTTCTCTGAAGTATGCAAATAAAGATGGTGTATTTTCTCACAAAGACACCATTTCTACTTTCCCGGCCCAGGGTCAAAATGCTACTCTCCATGACTTGGTGTGGGAGACGTAGGCTGTTCCATCCACATTCTCCCAAATGTGCCCATTAGATGCCGAACCAGCTTGGTACCATCAAGTCAGGCCCGACTTGGAGCCATCAAGTCAGGCCCGACTCTTAGGGGCCCGGCGTACAACAGAAGGAAACGCTGCCCGCAGATCCTGAGTCAGCCTCCCGGTGGTTACGTCGGTTCAAGAAAGCTGCAAACAAAAAGTCAATGCAAATCCCACTGAACACATCTAAACCTTTATGCTTGTGTTTTAAACATGTACCAACTTGTACATTTTTAACATTCAATTTTATTCCAATCCAAGAAATGTGAGGTCAAGGGTTAGGATCCCAGAGACGCAGCCTGTACAAGGAGTCTGGGAAAGGCTGCACCGTGTTCTAGAACAAATAGCCCTCGATGCCTTAAAAATCCAATTCAAGCTTGCTCTTTCACAGCCCACATAAGGCCTTTGAAAGTCTGGGGAATCCCTGAATGTCACCCACAGGAAGTAATCTGTTTCCAGGTGAAATTCTAGCAGCATTGTGGAACCCAGCACAGAGAGAAGACCCGGATGTCTTCATGCCTCAGCCTCCAACGTGCAAAAGGGAAAGAGCCACATGGTGGTGCTATAACCCAAGCAGAAATGTCCTCGTGTCCCCAGTCAGGATCCATGTGCTTCTCAGCCTGGATCTATGCTAGCAGTAGCCAGCTCATTCCCCTAGCCAGCAGTTGTGTTTTCAGAATTAACCACCCTTTGGGCTATGTAAATAGTCGGGGTCTGCTGAAGAACAAATAGTCGGGGTCTGCTGAAGAGCGCTGAACTTCCCCTTCAGTCAAAGACAGTCCCTGCAGGAAAACCTCAGTGTTGGGGACAGAGAGAACAGGGGGTGGGGTGGGTGGAAGGCACCTAAGACCTGAGGTGAGCGTAGAACTTGAGTTTGACTACTGGTTAATACATTTATTTTCTTGGGATCCACAGCACTTATTTTACATATCCGCTGAGTCTTTGTTTGTTTCTAATTGAAATCTAATCCCTTTCACACGAGAAAACTCTAACTCTAAAAACGTGTGTGTGTTCCTGGTATCTGGCACCTCATAGGAACTTGACAGAAGTTTACAATGTGCCAGACATAGGATCAGGAGCTTTCATGTCATTCTTGCAGAGATCACTTGAAGTAGAAGTTTGCCGGTTAAATTAATGAATTGGCCTTTTGATGAACCATTTAATTCATTACTTAATTAATGAAGCCAGTTACCAAAATGACGTATTTTCATCACCATATATGCAAAGGAAAGCTAGACAAGGAGCAAGCCTGAAGAGAGAATGCCTTTCAATTAGGGGGTCAGCAAAAAATATTGAATATACCCAAAAAATTGCCAGAAGGACACGCAAATCTGCCTTGGAAGGGAGGATGGTAGGACCTTGTCTCATGTGCTTTGGGTGTATTGACAGACGAGACTTGTCCAATGGGGACATCATAGTTGATAAAATAGAGAGGGAGTCACCAGTAAAAGAAGAAGAAGCTTCTCTGTGAGATGGATTGGCACAGCGGATACAACCATGGCCTCCAACAGAAAAATGGCGAGAGAGTCAGAGCACCTGGGAGTGGAGTGTTCTGCTGCACACAGGGCTCCGATGTACAGACTAGAGTCAGAGCTGGCTCAACAGCATCTCACAGCAACAGGTAAAGGAGCTTTGATCATGTAAAACTCGGGTCTTATAAGAAGTAACTTTGAGGTAGTCGGAAAAAATAAGTCCACTGGTTCAGAGAAAGATCACCATTTAGAAACAAGTGTGCACTTTTCTGGAGGCGTCCAGCAGAAGGACCTGGCCGCAGGTATCGATCTGCTGCAGTGACCAGGCCAGGCACAGAGTCCTTATCAATCAGAAGTGAATTTGAAGTCTGGCACATTGGACTCTATGCACCTTACTACCAAGCCTCGCCACGTTACCGAAGTAGTTTCTGCTGCCCTTCTTACCAACCAAGCGGTAAGACAGGCGGACGTGGCTGCCAGAGAATGAGCATGGGAAGATCTGAGCAACCACCGAGAGGTTCCACTCAGAGCAAGAAAACCAACCAAAAGGCTAAATGGACCAAAGTTCCTGAAAGTGGAGAGCAGCTGTGCCTGCTGGCAGACTCCCCTTTACTGCTGACCAACAACACCAGCCACTCCGGTGAGGCCCTCTCTCCCAGCACAGCTGAGTTTTCCCAGTTCCTGAGGCCATGCAGCCGTCCACACCTCTTACCTTGCTGGCCTCTGGGGGCCCTGCGTGGATAGCAGGCCATGTGGGCAGGGATGGATGCAGCCATGCTCAGTACGCAGGCTACACTGTCATCATGGTTTTCTTCCTCCTTCTTTTCTGCCTCCTTCTCCAGTGCCCCTCCACCTGCCCACCTCCACCACAAGGTAAACCCCTACTCACAGTAACACAAAGGAGCATAAATCCCTACCCACAAAGTGGTTTTATTTTCTTCATTTTTTGTACATTTGTTCTATTATAATAGCTTTATTATTTTATTCTAGTTGTCTCCCACTTCCTATTCCAGTGTAACCCCACCATCATGAGAATAAGCATTTCCCCAAGGTAAAAACAGGCAGATCTGTAGATTCTGCACACCCACCCAACCAAGAGCCTCTCTCCCTCTTTGATTGCACACACTTGCCCTTATTCACACTGCTAGGACAACAGAAACCCAACACACACACTCAAGCGACACCCCAGCCATAGTATAGAATAGATCGCATGTTAAGCCACAAAGCAAGCCTCAACAAATTAAAAAAAGCATCAACATCTTACGATCCATTTTCTCAGATCACAACACTATAAAACTGGAAAATTACAATAGAAAGAACTGAAACATACCAGAAAACACATGGAGACCGAATAATATGCCATTTAAATATGACTGAGTAATGGATAAAATAAGGGACGAAATTAAGAAATTTCTTGAAACAAATGAGAATAACACAACATACCAAAACCTTTGGGCACACTAAAAGCAGTCATCAGAGGGCAATTTATAGCAATCAACACACCCATGAAAAAATGGGAGAAATTCAAAATCAACACCTTAAAAAACATCAAACTAGTAGAACAAGGACAATAATATAAACCCTCCAACAATAAAAGAAATCATAAGAGTATAGTGGAAATAAACAAACTGGAAAGCCAAAAAACAATGGAAAAATAAAACAAGAAGTTGGTTCATTGAAAGGATTAACAAAATCCTGACAAACTGCTGGCAAACTTTAACAAAGGAAAATTAAAAAGATGCAAATTTCTAGAATTAAAGTTGAAAAGGGAGACATCACAACAGATCCAAGTGAAATTAAGAGAATAATAACACACTACTATGAAAGACTATACTCCAAAAAGTTTGATAATCTCAAAGAAATGGGAAAATACCTAGAAATACACCATCTATCCAAATTAGTGCAGACAGATGTAGAAAACCTTAACAGGCTCATAACAAAAAAATAAATACAGAAGGTCATCAAGAAACTTCCAACCAGAAAGCTGATGGTGCCTGGCTATTAAAAGATCTTAAGGGTTTGAAGATAAACAAGTAGCCGTCTAGCTGGGAAGCAACAAAGCCCACATGGAAGAAGCACGCCAGCCTGTGTGATC